ATATATATATATATATATATATATATATATATAATATATATATATATATATATATACGGATATTCATGAAAAAGAATTACATTATGTATGTGTAATGTCGTATTCATTTATTGATACTATATTATTATTACCTAAAATGGCATTGGACGTAAGGAAAAAGTGCTACTACGGCTTCGTATCGATATAACTATTAAAGTTAAAAATCTGTACTTTATGTATATTACAGATTTTTAATACTGGTGATATATATTGGAACACGGCCTACACTGCTTGTGTACATAATACAACTGTATTTCTAAGGTCCGATTCAATAAATATAAGATTAACTTCAATTACGGTTTATTTTTTTCTCAATTTTAAAATTGGAAAATTTTCCAAAATAAGTTTTACATTTGTGGAACCGACCCTAATACACGTCCCTGCTAAGATGGTAATGTAGGAAACGGAATAAAAATATCAATAATTAATCGATCGAATTTCCTGCATGATAACTCATTAACTAAATCATATTAACTCAGAGGGTAAGCATCTTATACATTGGAAATAAAAACCTATAATATGACCTTGATTAACTTCAGCCTTCGCTCCAGCATCCTCTTAAGTTTCCAAGCTTTTCGCGATTTATCGAGTTTTTGTGACACTAGAAACACAAGCCAATCATCCCAATGTACGCACAACCGGACCGAGATTACTCAGAGTCTATTGCTTTGTTGGTTTGATCGCGAAGCATGCGAAGGTGGTTGGAGGTTTCTGTTGTAAGGTAAATTGAAAAGCGATTGTAAATGTATTGTCAGTGTAAGGCGACGTTTATTCTCATATCGAGAAATGAGAATATTCCATGCGATAGCGAAATTATCATTGGTTACCGCGAGATGATCGAAGGCGTTACTTGCATCCCCCTTGACACAGGAACACAGATAGTGCATGCGCTCGACGTTCGTTAAGCTTTGATCCTCATGGATCATTGATTTGAATTTATCGCGAAAGCTTTCTCACTTGTCGAAACTCCCGTCGAAGATCGGCAGGTTGATCCTCGGAAGATGCAACGATGATCGAAAGGAGTTATTGAGACCACTTACGTCGTGTACAGCGGAACGGGGTTCGCGGACTTCGTGACAGTCCAATACCTCAGTCATGTAGTCGGTAGCTTCGTGGTAGTAGTCTTCGCACGTCAGGAAGTAATTCTGGATGAAGTACGCATGGGTTGCCTTCGTCTGCAGCTAGCATGATTTTGCAATCTAGCTCCTGGCATCTGGCAAAGGTCTTCTTGAGAATTGCGAGTCGTTGTCGCGTGATGGCACGTCATCTTGATCTGCCAGAGCTTCTTGAAATTCGTGAGCGTGCGAGATATGACGCCCATCTGCTGATTCAGCATGTTCATCAATTCGTCGAGAGACAACATTGTTTTCAATTGAAAGCTTTTCTCAGCAAGGTCGAGAATTAAACAGAACAATAACTTTCCTTGGCGGCGATCCGGTTCGGAAGACCAAAATATGTTTTGTGGGTGGCTGGTGTCACGGAAGGCTCGCTCGCCGAGGCGGCATAATAATAATGACTCTCTTGATTGTAATAAGTGAGATTTTATTATAGAAGAATTAAGATTTTATTATAATTGAATTAAGATTTGTTTGAAGCGGGCGGTAAGCGTTCGTGGTAATAACGACAATTAAAGCGTTCAGCTCGATGCGTGCACAGGTAATTCGCACTTGGTACGACGTTGAGGGATTTCTCCTTCAAAAGGAAATGTTGCCGTGACGAGACTGGCAAATCTCGTTGGAAATGCTGGTAAGTTTGCGAGCCGTGACGAGACCGGCAAATCTTGTTGGAAACGCTGGTAAGTCTCGCGCACTAAACGGTCTCGCGTAGACCGATTATTATGTTATAACACTGGTGATACGCGACGACAAATCGATTGGTTCGTGCTTAATATTCGCGAAGATGCGTTAAACGCGAAGAGCAATTTATTGCTTCCATTCATCGGGATCTGGTTGCGAACTCCCTCTTCTCACGCGGAGCGTGTGCGCGTTCGATTTTCTAGATTTTCGCAAGGAGGGTCACGTGCCATTCGAAACAAACAACGTGATTAGCACAAGATATGCTCGTGTTTTGGTCGCTTGGTGTCGACGAGCTGTTTGCTTGCTCCGAAAATATGAAAAGAATGTAACGATAATTTCGGAACAAAACTGATTACTTTTTTTTGCTTTTCTTGTTACTAGATTCTTCTAGATTCTTTCTACTAGATAATTTTTTTATAATTTAGAGTTTTACAGAAATATTTACTTTTCAAAATATTTTATTGAATTTTCTTATACGATGGTTACATGTGATATATGGCTGTGTTTGCATAAGATATTTTATGTTATTTTTTTATTATTTTGGGTTCCAAAATTATATTTATATATATATTATATACCACAGAAATTACATAATATAATTATTGTAATAATATAAATTTTGTTATTGTAATTTTGTGTAATATTTGACTGTTGATGAATTCGGTCACTCGCATTAAACTGAATCAGTGTATAAAGACAGTATTAAAGACAGTTTTATGAAAAATATCTAAATACAGTGACATAATATAATAAATTCGATAAATATTTACATAGATATTCTAATAAATAATATGAAGATATTTAACATTATTATTTAACATTAAATCGTTTAAAATGTTCATAAGTTTTTCTAATAACTTTACTAATTTCAAACATAGTAGCTTTTAGTATCTATGCATTCCTGGTGTAATGCAAGTGACCAAATTCCGTTTAAGAGAGTTTATGTAAGATATTTTATTTTACATTGATTAAATAATTGTAAGATTCACATAAACTTGTAGCGAATTTACGTAATGCGCAATAATGCGTTTAACCAAATTCGGTATTATATAGCATGTGTGTATTATATTCTCAAAATAAATATTTTATATATAAAGCTTAAATGAAATGAAAATGCTTCCATTTTAGTAATCACGAATCAAATTGCGTATCGTTAATTTTCAGCTTCAGCGACAAGTGCACACAAATAATCACGTTTGGCTTCTCCTGCTTCTTCATTAGGAATAATATTTCCAGTATAAATCTCTTCAATCTTCTCAATTTCCATACCTTCATTAATAAAGTCTTCTATATCATTTTCATCAATATCATCTAGGCATATATTATGTACAAGCAATTATAATATAGAGAATCATTTCATCTACATTCATATCAAAAAACTTCAGTCTATGGAATCTACCTTTTAGCGCAAATGCACATTCAATCTTTGACCATTTCTTTGAAAGAACAGTGTTAAATTTCTTTTGAACTTGAAAAGAAAATATCATAAAATGTACATATTTAGAAGCCAATTCTATAAGAAAAATATAAGAATAAATAATGAAATATCTTACAGCTTTACGTTGACCACGGTCAATAATATAAGAGAAATATACCATGACAGGGTATGCCTTGTCGCCAATAATAAATTCATTGGGAAAAAAGAATCGTTTATTCATTTGAACTTCTTTCCATAGATCTAAATTTCTAAAAACTCTCAAATCTCCAACTAAGCCCGCAAATCCGGCAAAACAGTCAATGAATTTCATAGAAGCATTACAGACTGCCTGCAAAATTATGTTTTTTTATAATATTGAGAGTCAATCTGAAATGAAAGAAATACACAATTACTATTTCTTCCTCTTCTTTCCAAGTATTTATAGTAATATCATGATTACAATAATATAATTATACACTTTAGGGGCTTTTATGGAAATATATGTGCCATCAATGGTACCAATAATACCTTGCAATGATGAATTTTTGTTGAAATCTGTTTTTACTTTATCAAGATTCGATATATCATTCAAAAATTCAATAACAATAATGAAATTTACATGTAATGAATTTTTAGCAAGGTCAAACCTTTCACCAACAGAACTGAAATGAAAGATTCATATTAACTAAATCACGTACAAGAACAAATGTTCATCAGAAATTTACCGAGTCAGGTGTCAATAATCACAATGATGCTAATAATTGCTTTCTCACTGAAATTACAGCTTTTCCTTGGGACAAAGACAGCACAGGACTAAGCCTTGCTTCTAAATTTTCATAAATTCTTGGGGTCATATGGAAATGTCTCCTAAATTATTTTGTATTAAATCTTGGTAAAGTTATTTCCACATAATCTTTAATTCTTGGAAGCTTCTGTCGACCTTCACGCGTAACTGAATTCTTTTCATTATATATTCTTCCTCTAAATCCGAATCATCACTGGTTTCACTATCAGTATCAAAAAATACATGGCAACGGAAAACTCACTAAGAGTAATCGCAGTACAACAGCTCACCTATGTCCATCCATGTTCTATTATTAAGATAAGAGTATCCTACAAGCATCGGTAGTAAATAGTAATGCGTAAGTAATTATCAGATTTAAAATAAATTTTATATATATATATATATATATATATATATATAATGATAAAAGATATAACATAAATATCTTATCAATATCACGTCTCAATCTACATAACTTATAGAATTTTTCATTCGCAGAACTAGTGCGCACTTAATGCACATTAGCATGTACACTATTCTAATCTAAATGTAAAAGTGAGATATCTCAACTGATAAAATGTTCAATGTGTATTTTATCAAATAGTACAATAAAATGTATTGAATATTTCGCGGTTTTTAATTCATTTCTATATTTTTATTAAACGTACATCTTTATGACGATTTGTACAACGGCTTTAAAATGTACTGAGTGCGTCAATACTAGTTCTGCCAATGAAAAACACTTTTAGTAGATTATTAAATATTTGGCCTTTTTTTAGTTATGGTTTATACTGTTTATAGTAGAAATAACCTGAAATTTAATTTTCATAAACATGTTGGGATCGCACAGGAAGTCTAATATGTCACTACCACCCATTCCATTCGGTTCAAGAAATGACTCGGGTGGTTTTTCCATCCTCCCGGATATATAGAGTAGGAATCTGAACGTTCTACCTAAGTGCCCAATAGAAGCATTCAAAAGGAATCTGAAATTTCGCGTTCGCGCCTTCGACACCATGAAACAGTTGCTTACACCAATTCACAGATTCAATACCCCATCGAAAGTATCTGCAAATGGAGATGTTTAAAAGGATTCGAAATTTGACCAATCAGAGATCGGTATTCCTTATGACTTGACTCCTTATTTATTATTAAGGGACTTTAACGACAAATGAATCACGTGATTTCATATGCTAACCTCAAATGTCACTCATATAAATGGGCTAACAGCGATATATTTTTGATGGTAATTATATTAATTGTGTTGTGTCCAAAATGTCATATCGAAAAGTACAACAATATTATGATTGGATCTGTCAAATTGATGCAATTGTGCACAACAAAAATAAAGCGAAACCACGACAAAATAGACTGTATGCAAAAGAGACTGTAATAGCATCTGTATGCATTAATGAATGTACAAATTTAAAAAGAAAATATAAAAAAACAGATTTTGAGTTGATCACTCATTGGTTTACACTCTTATACGCTTCAAGTACTTATAAACATTGCTCACGATGATTCGCTTTGGCAGTGTAAGCACTCAGAGATGCGTTCATGATGTCGTCCGTGACTCGTGCTCACAAATGCTTATTTTATCGAGGTAGGTCAACAAAAGTGTGAGCGCAAATAAGCGCCAAGATAAACGTGAGCAATGTTCGATCCTAATCCTAGTAGGTTAGATCTATGCATGTTTTTCATTAGAAAAATGTTTAATGAATGTATCGGATTGCGTGTATATTTTAACGCTTTCGTAATATATTGGGTCATTTAAAAAGTATCCGCGGTTTTTTTCATTCAAAAATTGAACAAAAAACCGCGGATACTTTTTAAATGACCTAATACTTATAACTACAAACATCTACAACATCTACAAACGTTTTCCGAATTTGTGCTAATAAAAAAAGGACTTTGTTATTCACCAACAAGAAAATGGATGTTTAAATTGTCAATAAAAATAAAAAAAATTTACTCATACAAAGATGACATCAACACATAAAGTTCTAATTGATTTAGAAGATGCACAGACTGGGAATATATATATACAATATCTCTAACTCCCGATGAAGTACCACGACTTGAATGCACTTTCGGTGGAAGGAAACAAGAGTTATAAGATAAAAAAAGTTATTGAAAAAAAATTTACAAAATTGAGATATTTGCTTACAATAAATAAATATTTATTTTAAGAAATAATACTTAAATCAAAGTATTACTTTTTATTGAATAAATTTTTATTCGCAAATGTCCCATTGATATTATTTTAAATAAATATTTATTAAAATTTTGTAAACTTTTATTTTTAGTGTATAAGAATTACTTTCGGTCAATTATCAATTATGTGGCCAAGCTTAACGCTTAAGCGAAGAGCACAGACTCTTGCATAACGCATAACACTTGAGACATAAGAAATTGAACCAGAATTCTTTATTTCATGAAAAGGAAGGAAACGGAGGATTGATAACTTCGATTGATACATTTTCTTATGCATTACGTGTTATGCGTTATGCAAGAGTTTGTGCTCTTCGCTTAAGCGTTAAGCTTGGGCGAAAAATTTAATTAAACTAATTCTTCTACTAACGAATTTCTAATTTTTCTATTCTATTAAGCGAATTAATTAAACTAATTCTTCTATTAATTTATATCTTAATTTTAAACTAAAGTTAGTCAAATTTAGTAATCCTCCCAACTAAATATATAAAATTATTTAATTTAATTACAAATAAAATAATATGCTCTTAATAATTTTATAAAATTCTATAGGGTCTTCTCGTCCCATAATTTCACCTAAAAATTTTAATTTAACTATTTAACTAATTCAATAACCTTATCTAAGACAGCTTAAATTTCATCTTTACATTCATTCTAATTAAAAAATAATTTATTATGCTACTTTTGTGCAGTCAATATATTGCAGCTATTTAATTTTTTAAATCATTGAGCAGTAAATATCTTTTAGCGAAAGCTCCTCGCTTTACAATAGCAAAAATGAATGACATCACTTATTTAATATAAGCACTGACAAACTAAATTGAATACCAAAAAACAACGCTTATAAGTATGAGCACTTACAGCGTGTGAACGTGTAAACCGAATGCAGCCATAATGTATTGAGCAATCATAAAGAAAAGTCGGTTTACGTGAAGTAATATATATATATAAATAAATAAATATATATATATATATAATCTCAATGCGATATTACTTCTTCTTCAATTATGAATGGCATCTGTCTTGAGATAAATTGTCGGAGGATAAGACATGTTTTACATTAGTTGCAAGCCGGTTTTACATTAGTTGCAAGCCATTAGTCGCAAATTTGTTAATGAAGCGTTGATTTCAAAATGCAAGCTTCAGATTGGCTGTCGCAACAAACTTGCGATTGGCTTGCAACTAATGTAGAACCAGCTTTAGTTCCAAAGTATTGATATTTATCAATTCCCTAGATTTCCGCTTTTTTGCCACTACGGTCTTTGACTAAAAAGTTCACATGAACAATTTCACATTTTTACAGTTGGGAAAGTTACATGATTCTTCGAAATTAGATAGATGATCATAGAATTCACGTGAAACTTTTCACTTTTCACGTTTCTTAGGTGAAAAGTTACATGATTGACCCCCAGATATTATTGATACATTTACCCGGCAGCGATTAATCGGGTTTAGTAACATCCGTAGTTATAACTCTCGAAATGTGTATCCGTTTACATGGAGCGGTTATTTATCCTACTGATGTTATAACTTCTGAGTGAAGTCTCTCATGATACTAATTAAGAAAAAGATTAGTACTAGATGGGGTGAAAAGTAACCTCCTTGACCGCCAGAATGCGCCACTACTGCAAAAAAGTTTATGGTGCCTTGTAGTCCGTTCATATTTAGGCAGACATGCCAAGTGGCAGTGCGATACTGCCCTTAGTTTTGTTTTGAGAGCTGATTGTTGTTGACGTGTTTGCGAAAACGATTTTCGTTCTCTCATAAAACATTATTTTTTGAGAGGCAAAACGGCGAAGGAAACAAAAGAAAAGTTGGATAAATATTATGTGGCTAATACTCCGTCAGATTACACCGTCAAATATTGGTTTCGAGAGTTTCGTGGTGGCCACAACTCCACTACCGATGAAGTCCGCAGCGGCAGGCCCTCCGATGCGGTTACCGAGGAAAATGTCAAAAAAATACATGAAATGGTGTTGGCTGACCGGAAAGTGAAGGTGCGCGAGCTAGCAGATGCTACAAAGATTAGTACTGAGCGAACACGCCATATTTTGGGCGAGATTCTGCATAAGAAAAAATTTTTTTTCATTCCCAAGGAGGTTACTTTTCACCCCACCTAGTATCGATGTTATTAAATCCGATTAAGGGTGTCCGTGTAAACGTAAAAGAAATAATTTTTGATAAATCATCAATCATGGAAATTATCAAATCAATTATTACAAGATTCATCTTGAATTTTGAATATATAATAACGTAACCAAAAAAAATAGTATATATAATATTAAATGTACTAAGTAAGCGATGATGTTTAAATGAAGTTACATTACATTAATTTAAATGTTGCTTCACCAAACCTGCTTTGTTTGATGTTACCTTACAATATAAACGATAAAGAATAATATGGATGAAAAAAAGAAGTGAGTGATGGGAGCGAATAGTTAATAATAATGATTTTTTAAAGAAGAGGATTGGTTAGAAATGTTTCGTATGATAAAACCCTTTCATTGGTTGCGCGATAGAGATTCTACAAAGATATCTTTAATAAAATTTTTTTGGGTATCTTTTAGATATTTTTTAAATATCTTCTAGAAATATCTTGAAGATATCTTTAAAGAGATATCTTTTAGATATTTACAAGACCTCTGTTTTCTGGGATTATACTGTACCAAGAGTTTAAAAGTATTATGAATAAGAACATATTAATAGAAATTAATATTTATATAGAAATTTTATGTTACTTCTAGTTCTACAAAAAGTAGTCATAATGACAAATATCTAAAAAGACTCATGCGTAAAAATATTCGAGAAAATATTATAAAAAATATGGAGAAAGGGAAATGTTCTAAGAAAAAGGAAATAACTGAAATTCGTATTTCCTCATTTCCTCAATCAAAACCATCATCTTCTAATTTCTCAATCACTTGTCCGATCATTCAAGATACGAAAATTAATGAAATTCCAAGTGTTTCATTGTCTCATATACCTGAATCGTCCGCATGTCATAATTTCGAATTGCCAATTGAAATATTTAAAATACATTTTAGGCGTTGGGCAATTAAACATTACATTGTTCAAACTGCCGTTAGTGATTTATTAAAAATAGTAAAATTGTATTTGCATTCATTATCTTCAGATGTACGTACTATTTAAAAAACTGAAGATATTAGTAATAAAATCATTGATTTACATCCTGAGAAATATTATCATTTTGGATTGAAATCACAGTTAACGTTAAAATTAAACCAAAATGATTTTGAAGGTGATAAAGTTAATATATCAATTAATATTGATGGACTTCCACTGATGAAAAGTGGTTGTAGTCAATTTTGGATTTTGAATAAAATAGATGAACTCTCTCTCTCTAAAACAAGTAGAACCATTTCAAGTAGGTATATATTATTGAGAAAGTAAACCCTCTAATTCTAACATGTTTCTATTAAGATTTATTGAAGAAATGAAAATTTTGCAAACAGAAGGTTTAAATTTCAATAGCAGAATTGTACAGTATCAATTAGTAAAATTCTTTGTGATGCTCTTGCAAAATCCTTTATATATGTATAAAAAATTTCAATTCGTACCAAAGCTGTACTAAATGTTGGGCTGATTAGGATTATTAAGGATTATTTCAAAACATAGAATGACTTTTTCAAAATTATCATAGAAACATCTCTTTTATGTGATTTGAAAATTGATCTTGTTACATGTGTCCCTTTGGATTATATGTATTTAATATTACTGAGAATTATGAAACGCTTATTAAGCTTTGGCTATTAAAGGAAATTAAAAAGTTCGTATATTTAAAGAGGATATTGATACTATTAACAAAAAATTGAAATTGATATACAAATCAACACCTTATGAATTTTCAAAAAAACCAAATAACAAAGTGAAAAATAAAAATGGAAAACTGTTGAACTGAAGACTTTTTGCTTTATTATGGCCCATGGCTTATGAAATTGTTTTTAAAAGAGCAGTACTTTATCTATTTTCTTTCTTTACATTGTGCAATTCGAATTTTGATATATGACGATTTAATAGAAAAATACATCGATTATGCTAATGAATTATTATGTCCTTTGTAAGCGAGTTTGGAAATTTATGTGGAGATATAAATACATTATCCATATTCATAATTTGATTCACTTGATATTAGACGTGAGAAAATTTGATTCATTGGATAAATTCAACTGTTTTCCTTTTTAAAATTACATGCATAAAATTAAAATGATATTGAAAACATCTAATAAACCATTATCAACAATTCATAAAGAGAGTTAATAAGTTTAATACATACGCTTCAAATAAAATAGAACAAAAATTTTATCTGAAAGAAAATAATTTTGCCTTGGTAAACGATAAATCGGTTGAACATTTCTCAGCAATACATTATAAAAATTTCAAAATTGAGATTAAAGAATCTAATTGCAATTTTCTTTTAAAAAATAATGAAGCTATAAAAGTAATTGATACAATATTTTTTGAATTGATAAATATGATAATTTAAGTTAACATCATATTTTGAAAATCCAATGGGCAGTACCATATTGTGGTATGGTCTTGCTCACATAACTGAACAAGAAGAAGAAAATATTATTTTTTTCGAGGAAATATTGCGAAAAGCTTTTAAAATAGGAGATTTTGTATTAATATTACACAAAAACTGATAAGGTGAGAAATCTGTTTATGCTTCATACTAGAATTATATGCATTGAAAACTTTCTAATTATCCTATATTTATTGAATTAATTAAGTATTAACCATTTCGTGTTTATTGTTATTCATTATATCTTCTTAATTATAATTTTTTCACTTTATATAGGATATTATAATATATATTATTTACTTTACTTTACATTCTTAAGGAAGGGGGGGAGGGAGAGAGAGAGAGAGAGAGAGAGAGAGAGAGAGAGAGAGAGACGTGATTTACAAATAAAATCTTAATTCATACTCAACTATACTTCTAATTTATTACATTTATTTTAACTTTGTACTCTGTACAAAATACTTAGCTTATTAAATCTAATTTAAACTTATTATTGCTGTCCTTAAGCTTACCACTAATATGAAAACAAAAAAATCAGATCTGTCTTTTTTCAGCGATACTAAGTCACGTTTTCTTTAAACTTACTTATTTTACGTATCACATGACTGCTTCTTATAAACCTTTGTATACTCCGCACTTCCTCTTTGTGCTACTTACTTTTTCTTCCTCATATACTTACGTTATGATTACATTTAAACCTTTTCCCCTATTCTTTATTCTATTCCTCATCTCCTTATCTTCTTCTATTTTTAATTTCTCTAAAAACTCGCTTTTAATTATATCTAATTCTTCGCTCCATAGCCTATTCCACTTTGCCTATATTATCTTTTTATCATTATCAGATTTGCGAATTACTCGTTTAACCTTTGAAATTTCATTTCCCCCTGCTATACAATCTGTTTCTATGCCGTAAGATATACATCTCCTACTATTCTTCTCTACTCAAAACTTATTCTCTTCCTTCATATACTCGTACCTTAGTTAACTCCTTGATCTTTTCCCCTAATCTTATTTTTATTAGATTCTATCTTTATTCTTCTTAAATGTCTAGATCCTATTCTTTATTTCTTTCATATCCCTTATTATATCTTGCAAACACTTGCTATCTTGCTATCTTCCCATTGTCTTTAAACGTTTTTTTCCCTTAATTATTTCCATCTTTAAGTTTCTTCTATTTTCCACATTTCATATTTCCATCATGTCATATTTACATGTCATATTTCACCCATTTCTATTATACAATAGAAATTATACAATCTCTCTTTCCATACTATAGATGTTTTTCCATCTCTTTAAATTCCTTCTCCAGTCAACAATTCTTAAGATATTATCTTCATTTGTTCTTAAAACACTCTCTTTATATTTTATGACTCTTATTCCCCGTCCTACTGATCCTATTTTTGTTATATACAGTTTATCCATATCCAGGTCCCTAGCTGTCACACTTTCAAACTATTGTTTAGTCATCATTACTATATCAGAACGTCAGAAGTGAGAATACACAATATAAATTCTTGCAAATGATATTTAAATAAAAATATATTTTAATAACAATATTTACTACACTTACTATCGACAGAATAGACTTATATTAAAAAGTATCTTCTTGTTTCGGAGAAAAATTCAATTATATTCATTTCTATATATATCTATAATTCTATATGTACCTATAATTTGATAATTTATCACGGCTGTGAACATGGTGTATTTTGTTTTTGATGCATAATTAATTTCTTCCAGATATATATATATATATATATATATATATGGTTATTTATACGTTATAATAAAACCAAAAGAATTTTTAGAAAGGATTTTATTTTACATTTTCTGTTGATTGTACATGCTGTTCTATTGAACTGCTATACTATATTTTCATAATAATATATTTTGCAAGAACTTTCAATGTGCATTTCTTTGTAACATTACAATCCGATATAGTAGGAATGAACAAGAGCCATAACATTATTTATATTTTTTTTTCCTGTGAAACATTTATTACTTATAAATTATTACAGATTACTTTTTGTTCGGATATTCCTGATCTTTTTGTATTTTTTGTGTTAAAAATAAAAGGTCAAAATATGTCAAAATATGTTGTAATATAGTATGTTAAATGATCTTTAATCTTTGTATTAACTATTTATTTATTACTTATCGCGCCTGACTCATTACTTTTTCTTTTCTATTTATTTTGATACTTGAAAAAGTTAAGGGTTCATACATATATTTGTAATTCTATGTGTTGATTTTAGTACGCAGTAGTACAATTTGATGATACGAGAGTCAATAAGTTCTTAGAAAATCTGTCAAAGGGCACTCGCAGTGTCATGTTACATTACTTTTTGACAAATAGCATCTTTCAACTGATTACTGTCAAATTTTAAGCGGAATTCATGGTTTCATTTCTGTAGATTAAAGCGAACAACTTTTGTATTTTTTGCAAAATGAAAAAAAACGAGTTTCGTGCAGTGATCAAATATCTATATATGAAAGGTTTAAAAAAATCAAAGCCGAGTTGGATAATGTTCATAGCATATCTGCACCAGCGTTTGCGACTGTATACAATTGGGTGAATGAATTTAAACGTGGTCGTACATCCACATGTGATGCATCTCATTCGGGATGTCCAATTGAGGCTACACCAGAAATCATCGATAAAGTCGACGACATTGTTTTGACTGATCGAGTGAAAGTACGCGAGCTTGTTGAGGCCATAGGCATATCACATGGTATAGTGATTTCAATTTTGCACGGACAATTGGATATGAAAAAGCTATCGGCAAAATGGGTTTGCTCACTGTGGACCATAAGCGCGACCGTGTGACGATTTCAAAACAATGTTTGGAGATGTTTCAACGTAATCCAGATGAATTTCTGCATCGATTCATTACTGTGGACGAAACATGGATCCATTACTTCACACCCGAGACGAAGGACAGTCAAAACAATGGACTTCACCGAGTGAACCAGCTCCGAAGAAGGCGAAGACCGTGAAGTCCGTCGGAAAGGTGATGGCTACAGTTTTTTTTGGGATGCACGCGGTATAATTCATATCGATTACCTTCTGTCGAAGTAAACGATCAATGGCGATTACTACGCAGCCTTATTGGATTGTTTCAACAACATTTTAAAGAAAAAATGTCCCCATTTAGCGAAAAAGAAAGTGCTCTTTCATCAAGACATTGCACGGGTTCACACGTACCCGGCACTGATGGCCAAATTCAATGAATTCCGCTACGACTTGCTTCCCCATCCAGCATATTCGTCAGATTTAGCCCCCTGCGACTACTTCCTGTTTCCAAACCTGAAAAGATGGTTCGGAGGAAAGAAATTCACCACGAGAAAGTAGCTCATCGCCGAAACAGAGGTTTATTTTGAAGGATTGGACAAATCATATTATTCGGACTTGAAAAAGTTGGAGAATCGTTGGATCAAGTGTATCGAGCTGAAAGGAGACTATGTTGAGAAATAAAAATGAACCGATCAAAAAAAATGTGTTTTACTATGTGTTTTACTATTAGGTGTTGGAATTAATTCGTAGCGTTTTACAAGTGATGGGAAGTACTTTCATTAATGTATTTTTTAATGCTCATGTGAAATAAATAACATTCTTTCATTAAAAACGCTACGAATTAATTCCAACACCTAATATGTTTTTCTAAAAACTTATTGATTTACCCTCGTATAGAATTCTTATAACTAATTTCTATAACTTGGTTGGAAGAATCAGATCATTGTTTTTGGCCTGAAGGAATGAAAAATATCAGAACTGCAATAGTTAAAGGATTACCCGTGCAAGATAATTGATATAAATATAAATGCAATATTATCAGTAAACAAGGTAAAAGGATAAAAAAAGACTATTGCTAAAGAAAATTTGAAAAAAAAATATTAATTGTTATAATATATAAATTATTATCTTTTGGTTTAATTAATTTTTAATTAATTTTTGTATATATTTTGCAGCATTTATAAAAAATGTATTTATTTATAATAAATTATATAAATTAAATTTTTTGACAAATGATATCTATCCTAAAGTTACTAAAACTTGTGTCTTATATTTTTACAGCACTAATACGTGTTTATGCATATGAATTTATTTTCTAATTGTATTAACGAAAATTGTATATTATTTAATTGAAGTCATAATTATTATTTCTTGTTTTAGTTATTTATGAGTCAGCTTTAAAGGCTGAAAAAGAGGCTGTTGCTCAGAATCTGAAAATGATCGGGAATTGGGAAAAAGAAAAGTTAAATCTAAGAAATGTAATGATTATGTCGGTCCTCCAAAATTGATCTCATATACGTACAAGAAATCAAATAACACGGCAGGTAATTTGTATATGTATTATATATTCATATGTACATGTAAATTTTGTAATAATATCTAAAAGTTTATATAGAGTTACAGAATCGGACCTTGAGTCCAATATTGTATTCTATATGCAGCTACAGATAACTACTGATATCGTTAACTAACGACAGTTAATAACAATGACGAAAAAAAGAAAAAAATGCGTCTCTCATTGGCTGTTACTAAACGATACCGATAGTTATCGGTAACCGTGTACAGAATACAAGAATACCTAAAATACATCGCACTGTATTTCATCTTGCGATCTGTAACTACGTTCTACGTCCTGTATATATCGAGCTTAAGGCTCTTGAATAATCGCTGCAGCCAGGTTGGAATCGTGACGTCAAAAGCGATAAATGACTCGTTAATTTTACGTGTCATTTATCGCTTTTGACGTCATTATAAATAAAGATGATTTGGATAAATGTAAATGAGGTCGCTTTAAATACTTGTAAAAATGGACAAAAACTGTCCTTTCCTCTTTTGAAAGTCAGTAAATGGTCGTAAAAGCACGTAAAGTGAACCTCTTTTCGGACAAGAAACACGGTTTGACAGTTGTTGAAACAAGTGAAAAATATTGGGTCATCTAAAAAGTATCCGCGGTTTTTTGTCATTAGATGTGTGATGGTCATATATCTAGTAACAAAGTACCGCAGATACTTTTTAGATGACCTAATATTATTAAAAATCGTCGTTAAATAAAAAATCATTATTAAGCAAATAAAGTAATGGTGACACGTTATTGTCCATCCCTGAAAATTAATAACAATGTGTTTTGGAAGTGCATCAAGAAAATAGAATAGAATGATATTAAACAATGTTATGCCATCAAATTTTGTATCAAATTGAAAATAATAAAATAAAGATTGAAAAGTTAGGAAAGAGATCAAAACTTATCCTATGTATAAGTTTCTCATCCTTCAATAAACTTCTTATGCCATAAACGGAAAGTGCATGGGATTGGACTCGGTCATCATATAAGCCTTTTTTAACTTTTCAAATATTTGTGTAATACTTTCATTGAGTTTAACACAAAATTTGATAATGTAATATTGTTCAATATATTCTTTTGCTTTTTTGCTACGTTTTCCGAAGAACATTGTCACTAGTTTTGCAATTATTTCTTATACAATTAGCGAATAGAAACGCGAATAATCTCAATGTGTTTAGGATGAATCAGATTGTAAAAAGATCAGATGTAACATTGCGCATAATGATAGCTGAGTATAATTTAGAGCAATTTTTGATTAGTGGAAAATTTCTAATTGTGACTATGTGTTAGCTTAATTTCAGCCAATTTCTGATTGGTCACAAACGTCTTCATTACTTTGAACGTCTGCACATCCTTAAATTTAGATTATTTAACCTTCTTAGATTATTTGATCTTAGATTAAGCTTATGATTAATGAAATAAATTGTTTTTGTATTCTGTGCTGCTAAGTTTTAAAAAATTGGTTTCAGAAAGAGAACAAACCATTACATGTACATACATACATGCATACATGCATACATACATTGTACACGAAAAGAATTTAATATCAATTTATATTTTTGACACAGAATTTCTATGAATGAAATACATTTTATAAAATTTTTTGGCAGGTATTGATGAAAATGTGGCAAGCAATTCATTGGCGGAGCCATTGGCAGTTTCATTGACAGACAAAAACCAAAATCTGGAATGTAAGTGTAATAATGCGGAACAGGGATACGGTAATAAAAAAATTCTTTTAATAAAAATTTATATTTGTATTTCATTTATCTTCTAGAAAATGCTGTTTTAATTGATGTCATCAACAATGCAGATATAATATAATAATTGAAGAGACAAATGATTTCACTAGAATAATAAATGATACGAAAAAAATTATAACCGATATTCATTCTGAAATAGAAAGTTTGAAAAACAAATAAGAGCAATCATTTTCACTGATTCAGGAAACTGTTAATCTCATTTTGGCTAAAATAAATAGTGAACGATATTCAAGAGAAGTTATAATGAAAGATAATAAAATTGGAAAATATTTTCCACTAACTTCAATTGAAAATTTCCTCGAATTCGAGCATATATTGAACAACGATTAGGAAGTTTTAATATAAGTCGTGAGTAAATCTATCAAATATCATTTATTACATACTACAGATTTATTATTTTAATATTTTTTGCTAATAAAAGAAAAATGTAATTACATATTAACAAACAATTCGATATTCAATTATATTCTTATAAGCAAAGTAATGTGTAATTATAGCCAATTTGAGCCAGCACAAGATTTAAGGTGCGAATTACAAATCATTTAATTACAAGATGCGTAAACGTTTCGATCACTAATTCGGATCCTCATCAGTACAATTAAATAGTCAATAAAAAAGGAGTAATAACGTGTGCTGAGAGAGATGATATGTGTCTTATTCACATGGATGCAGTTAAATGTGGTATATCCGATGTGTTTCTCGAATATCAAATTTTCTTATTCGCTAAACAAACGATGTATTATTGAAACAGAAGTTTTTAACGTAAATTATTATGTTAGTTATTACTCCATTTTTATTGATATTCGACTTAATTGTACTGATGAGGATCCGAATTAGTGATTGAAACATTTTCACATCTTCTAATTAAATGATTTGTAATTCGCACCTGTAAATCTTGTGCTCAAATTGGCTACGATTACACATTACTAGATTTATTCATTATCTGATATTTTATTCATTACTTACAAGTAGAGAGTTTCTCAAATTATTTTGATGTGGTAATAATTATAATTATAATATTTTAATAATACAACAATATTTTAATAGTACAATAATTTTTACAGATGAATAAAGTTTTGCTAATTGGAGGAAAAAATGAGAAGGATTTTATTCGAAAGGTGCAATTTTTACTGATGTTTTAGCTTCAATATGTTAATGGACAAGACAAAAACAAAAATTTTAAAGATACACATGTTATAATAGGTATCAAAAATAAGTGCTTTTGTGACAATTATGACAAACACACGTGTGCATACACACGCTATACGCACACATGCACGCACGCATACATGTTTGTGCACAGATTATGTTAGCAATCCTGCAACTCGTTATGATTGATTATTTTTGACTTTATTTTTTTCTCTACTTCAACTTTAATTGACTTTAACTGAATGCTTTGCGTTCTTTCAGTCTAGAATAACAGTTCAAAGTATTAAGATATATTTGTGTTGTTGTAATGAAAATAAAATCGCATAATATCTCACAGCGACATGCCACCTTTTAGTGTCTTATAACTAACTTATAAGAAGTTTTATCAAGCTTTTTTTGCCAAATTGTCGAATTTTATTTAAAAAAAAAATGACATTTTTGTACGATATAACGCAATTTCAGACTGAAAGAATGCAAAGCCTAATCAATCGAAGTTGGAGTAAGCAATAATCGAAGGTGAAAATTAGTGACAATCGGTTGCAGAGTTAACTAACACAAGAGGAAAGTAATCTGTTTACTTTATTATCTGACGTATATTTCTATCGTATTTCAAAATGTATCAATTAGAATAAAATAAATCACATACAAATAAAAGAGATATTCTGTTATTTTGTATTCTTGGTTACGATTCAATTATCAAAGAGGATTATTTTTTCATTTATTTTTCTTATTGCATAAACTTTTAGAACAGTATTCCCTCGGATCACAAAAAAAGATTTCGAATACTTAATAATGGAATACTGAATAATGGTTTCGATTTGCCAACGTTCGTAAACGTAGAAAACAAATTTAAAAAGGAAAACAAGACAATATATAAGGATGAATATGTTACAGGTGCATTCGGGGAGACGCTATTTGTACTATTTATATCATATTCTAACTTTATCATTAAACATAAAATAAGGACAGAATGATGCAAATAGCGCCAATGTGCTAGTATATTTACCTTTGATTATTGGTCTCTTTTTTTATTCCAGAATTTTCTTTTTACTCTCTGAACTGGTGCACTTGATGCAATAAGTTAAAGTAAAAAAATATATACGATTGTTTTTTGCAACTTATTGGCTGCATTCAGCAGAGAAAACTGATCAGCGATCACTTAGTGATTCTTTATATGATTGGTTTTCGCCTCTAATTCTTCGCTGGACCTAAGAGCAAGAATCAATCATATTAAAAAATCACTAAACATCAGGTTTCTCTGCTGAATGCAACTATTGCACCGTGTGTGCAGAATAAAAAACGGTTTTTATGTGTTTTAATTCGTAGCTAATTCTTTTATTTTAAATTTAATCTCTTCTGATTAATATTGTAATTTTTCAGGACAAAATGTAGAAACTTTAATATTATAATTTCTAATTGTGATTTTCTTATATAAATATTTGATGGATCTCAAACCTGATAAAGAAAGATTAGTTTCATTACATATGACATAGTTTTATGTCATTTATATTCTTTAATTTAAAATATATATACATGTGATAATATCGTTTAATGATATACTTTTATGTTTGCAAATGTATAATATAAACTTTTAGTTTACCTTAAATGTTCATAAAAGATTTATTATCACTTTTAAATTTATATTTAGTCGTAAAGGTTTAATTTAGATTAGATACAGTTAGTACAAATATATGCAATATATCTAATACAGTATAATATTTAGATTTAAAATATTGGTATAATATAAAATATTATATTGTAAATATTTTATTAACATAACTAGTGTATACATTATTAACATATTAGTGTATACATTTTATTAACATAATCTAAATTAAACATTTACGATTGCATTTATAATGTTTATCTACAGACAGTTTATATTAGTAATACATATATTTGTACCTCTAATACACATATATAATAAATAATTTAGATATAAGAAAACTAAATGATATAACTTGTATCAAAATAAAACATTTGATAATTTCGATTTTCCTTATATTTTATATGTCCATATATTTTATTTCCTTATATTTTATATGAACAGCTGTTAAAAATTTATAAAATTTTTCATCCTCTTTTATGTATCTTTTATTGCGCTTTTTTAGTGCGTTTTTTTAGTTTGTGCAAAGTCGATCGCGTTCAGCGGAATATTTATTTTGCAATAGTTGAAAGTTCTCTTCGCCGAGATTGTACTATTTTTATAAAAGTATAATGATCTAATCAGTGAAAAAAAAACTTCTGACTGTTGTAAAACATCTTGTTAAACGCAATTGACAGCCACGTGCAAACCGGTTGCTTGCTCGTCGAGCGATTGAATTTGATTAATTAGATGCATAGGAAATATATCAATAATTTCATTGCTCGATGAACAAGATTACTACTTTATCAGAATGCACATAATGACTTGCAAAAATAACATTAACAATTAATTATTATCGCGTTGTACTAACGACAACAATTTTAATTGGAATGTAAAAACATCTCAAGTGATCGTTTGCGTATAAAAAAATCAAGCATCTACTCTTGGATTAGTGGACAGTCGATATATCACGACTCTTCATTTTTTTTTATCGTACTATCTGATGGTTCAATAAATCTAAATTCATATTTTCGATCCAAAAATAGAAAATGATGTACAGAGCCTTGACGTGCTATCGTATACTCATGATTCGATAATTAAAGACTATAAGTCGTTCTAAATATCACCAATTAATTCTAATTTACAAATTTGTAATTCTAAACTACTTTCATTTCGAGCCAGTAGATAGAATAACTGTATACACCTTCGTCGAGCAACAGTTACTTCGATACGTTCACGAGTTGCAAATTATAAGCATTGATCAATTCGTAGATATTAATAATTGGAAATAATGCGACATACGCCAAGTTACTCGTATCACCTCATACTACCGCCGTTCCCCTTCAGGGCCACCAAGCGAATGTCGAAGTCAATCATCGCGGAGTGTCCTCACCTCTCACTGTCCGCTGAGCGCCATCCGGATACCCAACCGCGTATAAAAAATGTTCACGGTTTATTTTCATTTATTCGTATTTTACATGATTTTTACAAACAGGTTGTACATTTCGCACTTTGCTTTGTGGCATTTTTGACTCTTGTCAATTCTACATTACTTTCGCGATTTTATTAAACGTAATTAGTAATTATTCGCGCATGTGTAAGATATTTTTGATTGTAACTTATATCAATTTTTATTATTCTTTGTAATAATTCATACTTAAATAAAAATTGATAATATTCTGTCCTTTGATAACATCTTTTATATCAAAATACATGCAAATTATCTTAACTTTTAGTACACATCTTAGTTTTAGGCACCTCTACTACGTATACGTTCGGTTACTCATGTTATGAATTAATTTTCATCACTTTAACAAGTATATAAAAATTATTAAATAATTTTTACTTTCATATCTTTATTAGAAATAAAGTCTTTTTAAAGTTGTGAATCTTTGTGAAGTTGTACAATATTGATAACAAATTGTATATAAATTGTCATAACTAAATATAATTAACAAAATGAGAAAAATGAATTTTTTCATACAAAAATGTAAAATTCTAAAACAAAAATATTTAAAGGAAAAATATGTTTCAATATAGTAAAGTTGAGATTCCAAATTACAAAATTTCAAACTACAAAAGAAAAAATAGTTCAATTATCGATTGTCCAAAAAATTTTATTTATAGTTATTTAGTTAATATTTTAGTTATTTAATTAATACTTGAAAATGATGTTTTTTTTAATATGCATAAATAGCTATAAATTGAAGATATATTGCATTTAAATTTCAAGCAATACGTTTTATTATTGCTATTGTGTTAACAAATTTATAATATAGAGAGTAGGAAAATGTTCTTTATAACGTTACAGACAAGAAAGTACTTCCCATCTCTTGTAAAACGCTACGAATTAATTCCAACACCTAATAATATTAAAAAAATATTAAATATAAAATATAATATTACAGACTTTAACACAAGGATGCTAGAAACCATTGTGTTTATTAAGGGTTAATAGGTTGTTCTAGAGTTAAATTCTTTTTTTTTTTTTATATAATACAATATAATAATTCGCAAAATATTTCCGCAATATAAATAAAAATTAGTTAAGAATAGAGAAAAAATAAAAATTTTTTTAGTTACAAAAATGTACACTTTACATACACGATGGATCATTTGTGACTCAGAAATGAACTTTGAAGTTATTCTAGTTAAAGGATAAAGCCGACAGGAAACTTATTCTCTAGATGTCAAACATTTTTTGGAATAAAAAAGAAATTGGTATTGGATCAAGTACTCTTACAATTAATATTTCAAAGAAAAGAAATGCGCAGGACATGAATAATTCAAAGGTGTATAGGGTTAATATTATGAAACAATTTACGCTAAATATACTTTTGGCTACAAGTCTTAAATATCTTATTAATCATTATTTAATTTTTCAGCTAAAAAATTAATTTATGGCGCTATTATAAGTGCAAATTATTTTGTGTTTAAAAAATTTTTTAAATTTACGTATTATAATACAATACCGATCAATCATGATTTAGTAAAATAACTGTTACAACTTTTTTAAAATAAAAAATATAAAAATAAATTCCGAAAACTTATTTAAAATATAAAATCATAGGAATCGACATAAAATTGATACGACTTATTTAAAATGAAAAATATAAAATAAATTCTGGAAATTTATTTAAAATATATTAAATAAGAAATAAGTCAGAATATAGTCATTTAAAATAATAAATTCTAAGTAACTATTTTATTTTTTTTATTAAATATATATACTTTAAATTATTACAATAAAATTTATTTAGGGTCATTGTCCACACACACTAACTGTCCATTAATTAGTACATTATTTAATTTACAACTTATATTTCAGAGACGTGTCTTTTAAAATATATAATTAAAATACTGTATATGCTATGTGTGTGTGTGTGTGCGCGCGCGCGCGCGTGTGTGTGCGTGCGTGCGTGTGCGTTATGAAGAAAATTGCATAGCATATTTGAATTTAAATTCAAATAAATAGGTCTGTAAACATTTAAAACACTTTCAATTATTCGATGTTAATCGCTATTTTAACTCTTTATTATTCACATGCAAGGCAGGGTTCGGTTCTATTCAAGAAAAAATTATTTAACATGTACATTTTAAGACGCCTATTGTTAATTGATATCTTTATATAAAGAATGTTTAGAATATCGTAAAAAGTTGAAGGCAACTACATACAAGTTTAAGATAGGGGAGACCGAGGTCAATTGATTATAGAGGTAAGTAGAATAATCGAAGCTACATTAAAAACAAAACACGTGGCACACGCGTAAATGTGTCTGAGCACGCAGCAGTGACTGTCGCTAAGTCTGCTGTAATATCTTGTTGCGAACACATCTATGATCGAAGTTATACAATTTTAAAAAAATTGTACACCGAAGTAAATATTTTTATTCTTAAAGTTTTTGTTTTACAATCGTATATGATTATCTGAAATATTTAATTTCTACTTAGATAGTAAGTGTAGTTCTTACTTAATATAGTCCAACAGTTTTTTTTTATTTATGTGTCTTTGTTATCGTATATTATTAATGTTTTTAAAAAATGAACGGATGGGGATAGTAGACTAACCAC